AGAGAGCACAGTAACCTGCTGGAAATACACTGCAGTGAAAACAGATGTTTTCATTTGTCCAAGGTAACCGTGAGTAAAGAAGTCGAACTGCTGGTAAAAGGCCTAAAAAAATGCACCAGCTTCCATTTACTGTAAAATCTCTGGCCTGATATTGGTAAGAAGTATAGCTAATTCCTGAAGACTGAAAGGAAATTTGTGACCAGCAGAAATGGGACATATCTGATCACGGATTACTTTTTTGAAATGTTACACTCATCACACATGATGTCTCTTGTACTTTTCACATTCTCTCTCCAGTTTCTTTGAAAACATGAGTCGAATCATGGCTCCCAGCTACTGTCCCACTGAGGCGGATGTTCTGAGAGTGAGAGTGAGGACCTGTGGAATCATTGAGACGCAGCTGCAAGTTGGTGAAATGATCTTTCAGTAAGACTTATTAAATCAGCTGTGCAAATTCAGTAGTGGTTGCCGTGCACGGATAATTAACTACAATCTGTCCCAACACAATGCTGCTTATGGAGTTAATAACGATAAACCCCCTAATGCATTAGTCTGGACTCAAAGATGTGTTAACACATCGTGAAGTGCTTGTCCATTTCCCTTGAAGCACTTTACAAGTTCAAATGAAGAAATTGTAATTATAGCCTGAATATTAAACCTGAATGTAACCAAAGAGATACAGACTTGACTGCATTTGCACACTCGCTGAAATTTGTACAGAGACCGACCCTAAAACATCTGATCTTCTGTATAAAACCCTCGATTTACTGCAAGATACTGACTGTAGGCTACAGTATATGATGCCTAATAAATATTTCATTACATACTGTACAGCTGTGTAAGACTATGCTGTATGTGTATGGATACAGAGTGAGTTGTCATTTAGCAGACTTGGGTTCATGGATCCACTGTAGACAAATTTTCAATCACGAGGCTGTTACCATATATCTAGTTTAAAATGGTGCTGTATCAGGAAGCAGATTGGTGAGACTCCCCAACTGGAGAAGAGTCCCTGATGAGAGCTAAACTCTCCATAGCTGAAGGGGGGAGGTAGCTGCCCGGCCATGACTTGGATGTGCAGTATTGATGACTTGACTTTGCCTGGGTATACCAGGAATAAAACCTGGAGGGTGTGTAGAAATGAAACGGTGACGGCACGCCTCCCTTTCCCTTAGCTGTCAGAGTAGGCAACCGTTCATGCTGCTCCCTTTCGCTGCACTGATCATTATTAAAAACAGAATCCGTACAGACCATTCATGAATATTGCATATGCTGTATTTTGTTTTTTGTGTTTTGTTTTTTTTTCCAAGGCTACAACTGCATCAACATGTTTAACTTTGGGAAATATTAAAGAATATATCAGTTTTATGGGACTCTTTTCAGGGTATCTGCAGGTCTTCAAAAATTGTAACATTCAGTTTTCTCACCTTGGAAAGTTGTTAAAATACAAAATTTCATTCACAAAGTTTTAGAATATTTTTTACTGCCTTCAGTAGACTAACATTAGTTCTTTTTATGTAGTTGTGGGCTGTTTGTAAATATTATACACCAATAAAGTGGGATTAGTGGACAGTGGATTCAGCTCTCAGGCATTTTAGTCAGTACCTTCAAGATGTGACACGAACACGTCATTGAAAACCTTGTAAATAGTAGCAGTGGCCTTATGCAAGTTGTTTTAATACTCCCTGCTGTAGATAACTTTTTTTTTTTCCCTCAGTGTATATAAAGTTGACCAGTTTATTCTCTGGTCTTGCTTTTCATCTCTATATAGGCTTAAGATGTTAATATTTGATGGGGAGCTTGCATAAAACGGTCAGTACTGGCATTTCCATTGAATGTCTAGAACTGCTGCAGAGTGAGTCAGTCTCATCTCTTGGGCAGATTCCACCAAATGGCTAAAGTGAGAAATATTATTTCCTCAGGTATTATTTTATAGGTGCGATCCTGTAAATCTAAAACCATAAAAGCCTTCTAGTGGTCATGAGTGACTTTCTTTCCTGCAACACAGAAGCTCTCAAATACTGCGGTTAGTGCTTATTGTCCCCCAGCTTGTTAAAAGTGACTCTTGACCCAGGAGATAAACGCTCCATTGCCTCTGACGTGACTGCTGCAATCATGCACCTGGAGGCTGTCTGGCCCAAATGGAAACTCATTTCCTGTGTCATCGAGACCCCCAGCTTCACTTAGGACCAGATTGTATTTTGGGAAATATCACCCTGATACTTGGAGTAAGGCAGTTAATCCATACCTGGAAGGTTGGTCTAGATGGTAGTGATACCCCTGACCAGTGGCATCAGTTTATTTATGAAACATGCTGAAATATTTTGAATGGACTCTCATAGAATAATGTTACTTACAACAGAATTTTGTTACAATAATGTGACCAATCTTTGGAGAGTTCAGTACATTTGAGTTCTCTTTGAAAGTATTTCTCTTTCTTTTTTGGTTACAGTGATTTAAGATATGAATCAAAGGTTTCTCTTGCCCTGTGCTTATCGGCTGTGCTTGTCAGCACCTCGCTGGTTTTAAGAGGTTTTTGTTTTGCATGTTGACAGGTTGTATGATGTCGGGGGCCAAAGGAGTGAGAGGAGGAAGTGGCTCAGCTGCTTTGACTGTGTTCAGGCCGTGTTGTTTGTTATGGCCCTCAGCAGCTATGATACGACACTAATGGAGGACCCTTCGGTGGTATGCTATGACAATGATTGATTGTAATCACATGCAGCAAATCAAGTATAATGTTAGATTTGATCTCTAACAGAATGCAGTTTTGCTGAGCCTGTTGCGAATTTCATCTCCATTCTTGGCCCCCCCCCCCATGATTTCCCTCATTAGAATCGGCTGCAGGAAAGTCTTGAACTCTTTACATCAGTCTGCACTAATACGGTTTTTAAGAACGCCTCGCTGGTGAGTTTCTTTGCACTTATTTCAGATGGCTTTGTATTTTTAAGATGAATATGGCAATAAGGGATCACTTTAGACTTGGTTTTATAGCCCCTGCCTGTAGGACATGCACAGATTGTCCTGCATGTCTTATTATAGTTCATCTAAATTCGTAGGGGGGGGGTGACTGAAGTGCTGAGTGGCTTTCTGCTAATCATTCATGCCAGGCTGTCAGTGCACAGCTGGATGATGATTGTGTCTGACATACGGAATTAGCATACAAAGTCTAACTGTTGGGCAGGTGATTTTTGTTTGGTAAGTTGGCTGTGAGCACCATTTAACACTGTCATTGGTTTGGTTTCTTTGATACTGAGAATTCATCGGACTGTTGGACTGATTGTTGTTGGTCACTATCGTTTACATTTAGCCCTTTAACTTGTAAGATATTTTGGGGCAAGTGTTATCCTACAGGAATTTTTGTTCATATCATTTTTTAAATAGAGTGTGTGTTAAATGTTAAGCATCAAGTTTATTTCTTCTGTCAGAAATGCTCCCCGGCCACTTTATTAGGTACACCTGTACAATTGTGTGCAATCAAATCAGCACTTCTGCCTAAATATGTTTGAAGCTCAACATGTTTGTTTTTGGTGAAACTGTCAAATGTATAAATTCTGTTTATTATTGACGTCATAGGTAAAGTGGCGTACTGCACTACATACATGAGAGGGTCAGAATATTAGGAACACCTCTGAATATAATGTAGTCCAGTACACCACCACCTTTAATTATGACCATTCAAGGCCACTGGGCATTACACTGGAACTTTTCTCAACCAGTGTAATGAGAGAAGCCAGGAAAAACTAGAAAAATCAGACTTTTCCTCTTTCATTACTAGTTGACAGACAAAATTAGTAGCACATTAGTTTTTACATGATTTCTGTGAAACCTCAAAGGGGCATCATGTCAGACTTGAAGGTGTTTTTACTACCAGTGCTGACTCCACCTTTCTGTACTTTGGTGCCAGCAGATTGTGTTTATAGGCTTATTTATGTAATCTAAAACACATGCAGTGTATTGTCTGTTTTCATATTCACAATTGTGGTGACATGTATTGACAGATCTTGTTCATGAACAAAACGGACCTCTTCCGGCAGAAGATCCTACACTCTGGAAGGCACTTGAGATTTTACCTTCCTAGTTATAAAGGTACGCTAAAGGAGAACTGTTTTGTACACAGAATTATCTTGTGTAAACATACAGTATTTGCAGAGCTTTTTAAAACAATGTTAGTAACTTGGTCTCAAGATTCTCATGATCCCAGTTAACACATTGTGAATTTGAGTGTCATAGTTTTTGATTCAATTTTTGAGAATGCGAGGGAGGGCCAAGGGGTAATGAAGCTGGAAAAATGGTTAGATATCCAATCATCAGTCCTGGGAATCTTCTTTGAGTCCATCTAATGTTAGTTCCGAAACCCTGACACATTGATGTGTTGAGGCTTATCCATTTCTGGCTCATGCTGTAAAATGTAAGCTTGCAGGCGGCATTGTAGGACTTTGAACTCTATATGCATCTCTCATTTTCACTGCATCCTCCCTGTCCTTATGCTCATTAGAATTCCCTCTGGCCTTAACTGTCACAATATTCAAATACGGTCCTCTGTTTACATTCATGATCATTAGATCATGTGCAAAAAGTAGGCAAAAGATCCACACACTGCACTAAACTCCCAGCAGCGTTAATGCAGCAACATTTGTCTAAAAAAGATCAGGCATTTCAAAATAGCTGGTGAAGATCACTTTTAGATCGAAACATTAAAATTGCTGGGAGCTTAGTGCAGAATTTGGATCTTTCGCCTACTTTTTATGTTGGGTTTATTGTTGGTCCAGCACCTGCTTAAGTGTTTGTTTTTTTTTTGGATGTGTGCCCTACGTTTTGTTTTTTCACACACGTCATGCTTGTTCAGAGCGATGAGAAAACCTGTATACAGATTCTCAGTAGAGGCCAGTGCACTGTTTGAGTGTTTCATGTGTAAGACTGATTGCAGTTTGCACTGTTAAACTGAATCTTCGCTTTACTGAATTCAGATGTTTCTGGAGTTGTCATATTTTTTTTGTTCCTATGCAGGGGCAGACGTGGATGTGGATGCTGCAGCCCACCACATCGCTGCTATGTTCTCAGTATGCAACAGAAATCCTGACAAGCCCGTGTATCACCACTTCACCACGGCCACAGACACGGCCAACATACAGGTGGTCTTCCACATGGTCATGGATCAGATTATCAAGCAGAACCTAGCAGCTATCCAGCTGCTGTGAAAGTCTCCTGAAGACTGTTTTAGATGGTTTGTAATCAACTGTTTGTCTGAGTGCAAATGTTTTATCACTTAAAATAAGTTGGTTATAGCTTCTTTCAGTTGCACTTGCCTCTTTATTTTTATACATTTTAAATAAACTATTTATTGATGAGCATCCCTAGTTGTTTTAATGCTGTTTATTGATTCAGTTCATTTCCCTTTCAGAACATCAGACATGTATTTCAGAGAATCATGCACCAGTGCTTAGTTGTAGTGTTTCCAGGTTTGTCTTTTGACACCATTTAATGCATTTAAACAAATAACTGAATTCTTCTTCTTCTCAGTGTTTCTTGACAAATTCATGCATTCATTCAACAGGCAACTGCAATATGATTCATTTTATTAATGAAAACAAATATGTACGTAATTCATTACTTGTACAGAATAAAGTTACAGGATTTCATAAATGTAATCATTTGGTGAAATAGTAACGGTCTTCCATCTAGTGCAACAACTTGGAGTTGGACTTATTTACAGTTTTTTAAATATCAAGCCGTTGAGAAGAGGACTCCACCATCCAGGCCAGGTGTTGGCTTCACCGCTCAGTCTCCCTCACAGTCTGTGGAGTCCAGAGACAGGAAGACGTCCGCTTGGCACTTAAAAGAGCCCTTGATTTCCTGGAAGAGTTCACAGCTCCTCAGGTTTGGTGTAATGTCTTTGATACAAACAGGCTGTTTGTGGGGAGACAGACAGATGATGCTGTAGCATTAGAGAGTGCTTAAAAACATTCCCTTAAATTCTGTACACTTGAATCAAATGTTTTTATAATTCAACAAATTTCTGGAGATGGTCAATATTATCAATAGTGGGAATATCAGTAGTTCAGTATACAGAAAATAGGTTTGTTTTATGCTGGTTTATTCTACTCATCACATCTCAGAGGCAAATGCTGCCTTTTATTGTCTAAATGCGCCAGTTGTACGTTGCACAATAAGATTTTGTCAATAAATTAAACAGCCCAAAGCTACTGTAGATAGAATTGTTAAAATTAGCTCAACTTCCATCATCTACATCACAACTGTTCACTATCAGTAATTAACCAATACATTTAGATTTTCCGGGGGTCATTCTGCTGCATAATATGTTCAAAACGTCATGCTACTAACTTTGAATTGAAGATTGTCACTTGTGGCACAGGAGCTGAATACCTCTGATCTGCTGTACATACATGCATATTGGTTTCAGAGGTGCTGAATGAATAACTCCTTCCTGGCTGAAGTGTCCAGGAGAAGAGGATTTGTGGTTATTCAATTATTTTTAGTCCTACCGTAACGACGGTTTCCATCGTACGAATGTAGCCAGAATCTCTAGCTGGACTTTTTTTTTTTTTACAAATGCACAATTAAGGGTAGTGCACAAAAAGTTCTTATGTTATCGAGAAAACCAGCTTTGTAATCTCTCTTTTAAGAAAACTTAGATATTGAGGTCAAACCAAACCGATTTTACAAATGCCTATGTGCGCTGAGCTAACAGTCGCCCTGCGTAATGCGCAATGCTGATCCAGCCCAAAATGCTGATAAAATCAATAAGCACTGACCATCGTCTTCACGACGACAGTGTGCGGTCTTAAGTCAGACACCACGTCGTTGGCCGCCGACTCTCCGCTCTCTGGCGGGTCCAGCCCGGATCTCCTGACGTACGGTGACCTCCGGATACCGGACAACAAGCCGGACGCTCTGCCCACCGAGTAGTAGCTTGGGCCGTCCACCTGCTTGTACCATGCCTTCGTCGGACTGCAAGCCACTAGTGCGGAGATCACCACGATGGGGAACATGAGTTTTGCGGGCATCTCCAGTAGGTCCTGCGCACCTCGATCTTCAGCTTGTGGTCCTCCTCGTCTGCCTCTGCTCACAGCTTTTATCCTCCTGTTTTAGGGTCTGGCTATAAGGACCCCGTGATCATATTCCAATTTCGTCAAGAAAAACTGCACAGGGATGGGCAATTCACACACACCACAAATCCTCCACAGGCTGGAGAGCTTCTGTGTGGAATAATCAGTTTATCTTTCACTTTTGAGATAAAGTTGTACATTTAGATTTAACTGTCATTAAAGCTTATGACAAAATGAGTATCTATCAAAAGTAATCATGAAAAAACTCAAACCATAGTTGGTGGTTTGTTTTACAGTACATGGTTTCAACAACAAAACATAAGATGGCAAAGTGACATCTCAGATTTAACTGTGCTTTGACCACAACAAGGCATCAGACTGGCAGACATGTGCACAGGGTGCAGGTTTTCTCAGCACTGGGTCTTGTTTCTTACATCCTCCCACTCAGAAAGAGCTAAAGTGTGCAAGTCTGTGGTGTACCTGACCTGATTTCAAAGATCGAGAATGTGTGTAGAGGGCAACCCAAGACTTTTTTCCATTACAGGAAATAGTGTTTATAATATGAAGATTAAAAAAAACGGATAAAGAAAGAAACACTTGGCCAGGATTTCGAGTGTACAACAATGTGGCCTACAGGGCTTCCTACAAGCATTTGGAAATCAATTATAATTGTAATTTGTAAAGTGTTTCAGCATCACAGAAACCTGACAGGATGCAGTTTCTGGCTTGCAAGTACAACATGTTTTATTAAAATAATAAAACCTCACAGGAAATGAATGAATCCATCTCTTTCAGGTGTTCTCTACCATATGCCTGAAGTGGTATCTGTGCAGTGAAAGGCCCGTCCGTTGTCATTCTTTCACCAAATCACCACATTTCATTCAAATCATGACAAGACTCCAGTATAATAGTGATAAATATCACAGTTGTTCTTTGAAAATACACCAAGTGAAGCAGACAGATGCCCTGGTAATGTTGGCCCAATGGATTTTTTTTAATGTTGTATATAAATATCAGTTATAACTCGCAAACATCAAAGTTTGATATACATGCACACGTCCCCAAATAGACTTACATTCATTTCCAGGAGACTTACCCTAACCTTAACCAAAGCCTATAAGTTTACACCCCATCATTTTTATAAAGTTTGACAAACTGCACTGTGGGGACCAGCCTCCGGTCCTCGTGAAGATAGTAACCCGTGGATTTTGGGGCGCACAAGTATAGAAAAACAAGGAAACACACACAAAGCACCTCTGACTGTGCTTTGCATGCAAGAAAGCATCATTATTACACAAGGAAGGCCTGGTTTCATAGTTCTCATATTCAAATGTAAGCAGTGCACTGAGTCTGTGGTGTGTGTGTGTGTGTGTGAGTGAGAGAGAGACCTAATTTCAGGGTGATCTAAGACGTTAAAAGCCGTGCTCAGTAGCAAGAGGAGAAACTAACTGCATTTTGAGTAGACAACATAGCCTGGAGAGGTTGTTGCAATAATTATAAGACTCATATTTACTTCACTGTAACTGGAAAGAGTCTCAACATGAGCAGTGAAGACAGAATCCTGACATGGATGTTGATGCTACTGCTTCTGCCTGGTAAGGACAAGAATTCAATGTCATTTAAGGTAACATATCGATTACATAAAATATGCATTATTATGCATTATTTACAGGTGTTCCCTGCAGGGACTGGAGAGTGGAGTATCAACAGCAACATATCTGTGCAGTGAAAGGCTCATCTGTTGTCATTCCCTGTTCATTTCACTATCCTGAAACATACAAAGTACAAAGTGTCAAGTGGGGTCATGAAAGGTGTGATATCTATAAGGGTCCTTTCATTTTTGACAGCGAGTCAAACGATGCCTCCTCGAGATTTCAGTATATTGGGGACAAACATCACAATTGTTCATTTAAAATACAGCAAGTGGAGCATAATGATACAGGAAAACATGCCTTCAGATTTGTAGCTAACTCCAGAAATGACCAGGTTAAACCATGGACTGGTAGTGTTGGCTCAGTGCTAACGGTTGTTAGTAAGTTTTCTTATTCTTTTTTCAGAACCAAAATACTTCAATCTGCAAAGTTTGAAACTCATGCATTACCTTACTCTTCTAGATCTGGAGGTTGTGATGACAAAACCTAATGGAAACCGAACAACGATGGAAGGCGACTCTGTGAATCTAACTTGCATAAACAGCTGTGATAGTGAAAATGATGTATCTGCTTTCATCTGGTTTAAGAACAGAGAACTAATACATGAAGGACCTGCATTTTATTTAAGCAACATTTCCCCTGCAAACTCTGGAAACTACACTTGTTCTCTAAAATCTCACAAAGGAACAACTTCAGAAGTCATAAGTATTGATGTTGAATGTGAGTACAAGACACATGATAAACACTTTAGAAATAAATGATAACTGTATGGTGTAGATAAAAACCCGTTGTCTTCGTTCAGACGGCCCTAAGAACACATCGGTGTCTGTCAGACCATCAGCAGACGCAGTCGCCGGCAGCAACATCACCCTGACCTGCAGCAGCCATGCAAACCCCGCGGTGGAGAATTATACTTGGTTTAAAACAAATGAACAAATTACGGTGGAGGCTGGAAAGGAGCCGGAACTTTACTTTAGGGAAATTTTTCCTCATGATGGTGGACAGTATTTCTGCAGTGCCACTAATAAATATGGAAGTCAAAACTCCTCTACTGTGACTTTAAAGGTTAAAGGTAAGCTAGTTAAAATAGTCATAATACTTGTTGTTTACTGTACTGTCTTTCTCTGATTATGATAAGTTAATCACTTAGTGACACTTAGTTGTCACTTTGTTAGGTACATATTATTTCACATTACATTATACACCTCTAAATATAATGCCGTCTAGTACAATACCACCACTAACTATGACTTAAAATCTTGGTGTCAATGTCAGCATAACCTGAGCATCATAAAAAGTACTTTATAGCAGAAGAATTGTGTTTGATTGCATGAAATTGCACAGGTGAGCCTAATAAAGTAGACACTAGATGTACACTGTTTATCACTTTAGAGCATGTATTATGTTGTGTGACATGTTCTGAGTTGAGTAAAATATGAGTTATTACAAATGTGCCTGATTCTTGTGCTTTCACAAGGCTAACACTGCTTTTCTTTCACAGCATATTTACCAACATTCACCAGATACGCACTCATCACTGCTGCTGTCGCTATGCTTATGATTGTGACCATTGTTATTGCAATCAGAAGGTAAACTGTATTTACACAGTGTCTTGTATCTCATATACAGTGCATGAGATAATGATGGTGTCTTATGTGTTTTCAGACTCAACAAAAAAGGGGCACGAGCACCAGAGGCTACATCGGAGACTGACTGTGCCGAGGACCTACAGGTGGCACTATCATTCCACTGGCTAAAGTTTAATACTGGTTTTATTGTGCTCTGATTTTGTACATAATGCTGTGTGACATTTATCCTGCACACCATATATTACATGTTAAGGTGGTAGTTGCACCTATATTGGTACCATGGGGTCAGATAAGAGAACAAGAGGTTGTTTTTGTTGTGTGGGTAAATGCTGTCATGCAGTATCTCAGAGCTGAAATGAACAAATAGAATTTAATATCAGAAGAATATTGCTTAGTTTATTATATAATGTTATGTGTGCTTGTATCTAGAACACAGTCTATGTCAACTTACCAGTGTTAAAAAACAGCCAATCAAAAGAGGAAAACCAGTGTGAAGGAGCAACAGCAGAGCTCATCTACGCAACTGTCGACTTCAGCACCAACAGAAACTCAAACACGTGAGATATTTTTACAACTGGTTCCTGTTTCTCAAATAATAATGTATACTACGTTAGAGACATGTACTCATCGACTGTATCATCTGCAGACAGCAGCAGGTGGACTCCCATGATGATGACACAGGTGTGATTTACAGCACAGTGTGCAGGTAAAAATCACCAAGCACCTGCACATTTCACAAATAACAATGTTCATGACAAGTGAAAACATTTGGTTTTCCTTTTTTATTTTCAGGGACCAAATCTTGAACCGTTCATACATCAAACCTCATCAACAACAACATTCTGTTCTGCAGTAAGAGAAAGTAGAAGAAAGTGTGACTAAATATCACCTAGAACACAAACAACACAGTCTTCTGTCAGTCAAAATTAAAAATGGAACCGTTGTTACTGGAGGTTGTAACTGACATAATAATAATATTAATAATAATTTAATAACTATTGGATAAAGTCAATGTCAAAATAAGCATAAGCTTAAAGTATGTTGCCATGTATTATCAAAAATACAAACATTGTATTTCTTTCCTCCTGCCTCTGAGTAAAATGTGTGGATGTGCCTGGAGCGACTGGCTGTTAAGTTGCCTTGCAAATCATGTGATGTTCTTGTTTTGTGTAATTCAACAGTAAAAGTTCATTTGCTTTCTGTGGTCATTGGGTCCTGAGTTTCCTAAGAGTAGTTTCTAAAAACAATATACCCAACGTAGGCACCTTAGCTACAGACAACTACAACAGATTCTGGTATAAAAGTAGAAAAACTATTATACTGTGTATACATTTAGGGGGGTGCTATGTGTTTGTGTAGTTGTATTTTTAACTTCACTTTGTCTTTTGTAACATTAAATTTTTCTGTTAGGGCCATGGAATGCTTTACTTTTCTTATGCCATTTTATTTTTACACAGAATGTGGAGGTTTCAGTATCTCTGGATCTGACAGGCTGAATATAACACACTCCTGACATGGGGGTGCAGCCCAAGTTACCATGGGGATATACATGCACAATATAAAACTGAGAAGCCAAAATGGAGTCTGAAGTGCTGGAACACCAATCTTGGGTTTTTCAGCAAGATAAGTTAGGTGACTTATTTTTCAATGAGTTTCTGATACAGTGAACTTGTGTAAAAGCCTTTGGTTATTTTAAATGAAAAACGCCCATAGCACATGGTTACCCAAACTTGTCCAAATCCCAGGTTATTCTGCCCTCTGGTGACAATTTAAGTGCATAACCACTTGAGGCAAGTTAATGTTCAGCCCCTGTTGTTCAAACAAAAACGAAACTCTCTTCAGTGGATGAGTGGC